TGGTAATTGTAAACCTCGTTTATTTCTACCGTAACGCTGTTCTTCAAACATCTGACCTGAAATTAACAAATTTTTGATGTAAAAACATATTACCTTTAAAGTGTGTTTCGTATCAGTTCTATGCTGACAAAAAGTCGAATTAATATTTTTAAGGTAATGTTAAGTCTGACAATTAGATTGTCCACACTGTAAAACAGCAGCAGTCGTGAAGATAATAGCACTGATCGACCGGGGGGTATGATTTAGTAGATCAAAACTTCTTATAGTAGCTTTTTGTTATTCGCTAAATTATTTCAAAATTAAATAGTAGGCAAATAACATTCTGTTTGATTGTTTGCTAAATTTAGAAGTTTTATTTCGTTATATGTAGAAGAAAACTTGTGAACTGATTTTTTCAAGAACTGTTTTATCATTAAATAGGAAGTATAATTTGGTAGGAAAAGCTGATTTAGTTTTGCTGCTTAATTGCTGATTGATTTAACTAAACAGCTTGCAAAACAATGATTTTTAAGCTAAAAGAGAAAATTTTTCTGTCATTTCCAGTTGGTGTTGACTACTCAAAATTTGGTTTTCTCATGTTGTATATTAAAAATTGCAGAAATCCTTAAGTTATGGCGATTAGCAGTACAAGTGAAGAATATTTAGAGCTGAAAAAACAATAAACCTTATACCAATTGAAACTGCACTCAAAAAAATATTTAATTTATTAGCTCTGTTTTATAATCATTCTTTTTAACGTCTGTCTTTTTTTGCAGCTTAAAGCGAAAAATACTGATGTTCGACATGTAACTCATTCAGTGAACACAAGTTACGGGTATGATAGAAATCAGCAGTGAAGCTCAGGATAGGTTTCAAAAAACTCTTTTACACCGTTCGACAGTGCATCAGAGGTTGCTGATTTCTAAAATTCGGGTGCTGCATAACAGTATGCTTTGTAGATTTCGTAACTGCTTTGAATTTGTTTTAAAAGTGCTTCTGTTACACTTTAAATTATTTCTTGTTACCTGTGATAGTAGACTGATACAGTACAAAATAAAAAAAACAGCAACTATTGTCAACAATTCTGTTTTTGAATATTAGTAAATTATTTGCCTAAATAATTGAACAGAT